ACAGTATTTACATTACTTTTCAGTTATATGTACATTAGGCATAGTCAGCAAAACATATGGTCGCAGCCCACCACGGTTATAACACAATATGCATTCATCCTATATTTACATCCCTAAAGCAGAAAAAGGGAAAGTAATAATAATAAAGATCTCTAAGTCTTCAAGCAACTGATGGAAAGTACAAGACACAGAGCAGCCACAGATTTTCTGGATCTCGTTGTGCCAAACTCTGGTTCTTGGTAAGATATCCATCAGTGCTCGGCTCAAGAGAGTGTCATCAGTATTTGGATTCTCCTCAATTACTTCATTGTATAATAATCTCACATAAAGGAGAAAATCCAGATAAATAGTACCATACTGATTCTGGTTCCGGCCTATATGCCTTCCCAGCTCCATTAGCTACTTGAGGATGCTACAATAGTCCCTAAACTCTTTCTTTATCAGTAAGGGTCTCTTTTGGATGGGTAGGTTCTTGACCTTGTCTTGTTCTAGCATCACCATCCTAATTGGTACTGCCTGAATAACACTAGGGCCTGCTTCATTTACATGTGGCTGAGGTCTTGTAGCACTTTGGGCATCACCCTCATCCAGCCTTACCATATCATTGGAGTCTTCCTCCGAATAGATATCTTCTATCTCACTAAGGAGTTGATAATAACCTGGTAGTGGAGTCGAGTCATCAGGGTCGGAAACATGCGGGTGGTACCAATATAAACACAATTCCCCCGGCATTGATTTACCGTTTCCCCGAAGTCACTGCTATAACAAGCTGTAATTTTTCTTACACTCAACTCAATCTATAATATACCAATCCACCATAGGGTATAATCCCATCCAATATCATTTAATCAAACAATCACAATCCAGAATCATTCATTACAACGAATCACAATTCACACTTTACAACATAAAACAGTCTGAACAGTGCAACTTAAACAGAGCCAGAACCTTTTCTCTGATACCAAAAAGTGTAACACCTCCTTTATTACCCTATTATACATCAATTGGAACCAATATATTGCATTTCCCAGTGTTTCTAAGTGAAAAATTTCAGTTTCAAAATTTTCATTTAATTTTGTTTGAACACTGTTCATCCAAATTTTAGTCAATCTTGAAAATTCATAACTAATTCTAAAAAAATTGAAGTAAGGTGGTTCCAATTTTCATGTGAAGCTTACTAAGTTCCAATTTTCATGTGAAGCTTGCTAAGAGTTATTTAGAGAAAAAATACTCATTGGACTCAATTCCATTTAGAACAGTACCAGAAAATTTGACAAAGTGCACTGTTCATATGGTAAATTTTCAAATTTCTAGTATTTTAGCCCAATTTTAGAAAGGCATAACTCTTAGCACAAAACTCTAATTTTAATGATCTATAACTTGTTTTGAAGCTAAAAATAAGCTCTATAAGACTACCAAGTTTTAGATCAAAATTCGTCCATTTGCTTATTAGTTTATGTGACACAAATTTAACTTTATTTAGGGTCTTTCTATCCCCCATTTTGCATTTCCTTGGATTTATTTCCCTTTTTCCTCTTTCCTCATCCTCTTGACATTGCACCATTCAATATTCCAACACTTGAACATTCCATACATATATAATTTGCAACATATTATCATCCATATTATCATCCATAACATTTCAAAATGTCATGAATTCCATAATGCTCCTTCATCCCAATACCATTTCTTGCCCTTGTCATTGGATGAACCATCCCCTATTTGGTACATAAATTAACCTAGGAGGACTGAGATTTCAAAGAAATCTCTGTAGCATTTGAATTACAATTATCATGCAAATCAAGCAAGTTACAATGTCACATGTTATGAACTTCAAGACATCCTTAAGCCACATAAAATAATAACCCACAATATGCTGGGAGAGGAACATTAACACTTCCACACTAACACAATTCAATACATTTGGCCAAAACATAAACCAAGAGCATCCAACCAACCAAGATCATCTCATAAGTTCCTCAATTCAGGCAAACAACAAATCACATTAAACAAGCAAGATAAACAATCAAATTATAATTCAAAGCTACCTTTTACTGCTTGTCCAATTTGGTCACCTCAAAGGGCAATGATCCTTCTTGACTCCTCCTCACCAATCCTTGATGTTTCCCTAGTAAAGACTAGATGATTCCTTGCTCATGACCCTCTTAGATAAAGTCTTGGTCTGGAATTGTAGTGACAGCACCTCCCCTCATTTTCGAATTTTTCCAAGATTTTCTTGTATTCTAGAGGGGGTATTTATAGACAAATGGACCTGCCATTTTGCCCCTGATTTGGATGCCCAAAATGACAGATGAGAGGGTGTGTTAGGAGCCATCAAATGTAAGGGAAGTTCATATTTGAACAAGTATCCAAACTCTAGATCTTTCCAAGCATTTATCTCTTAATTTTGCATTTTATTTAATTAAATATGGTGGGGTCTGGAAGTTGCACGAAATTGAGCCCAATTTGGGCCCCACATATGGTCTAGGCTGGCCCAAAAAGGATGGCCCACAAACCAAATCAAAATCCCAAACCATTCCGACACTTTATTCGTTACTATTCACAAGTAACATTCCATAATTTCTTCAGACCTCCACAAAATTTATTTCTCTCCATGATAATTTATATTTTAATATGAGAACATGATCTGAAAATTTTTCTAATTTTTTACGACCTCTAGGTATTTATTGTGAATTTTCTCCGATTAGGCCTATATTGGTGTCATTAGGGGAAAATAAATTTCCTAAAATTAATTCCTGAACTTTCAAGGCCTAAAACCAATTTTATAAATTCAAAAAATAATATTTAGATGATTTATCCATAATTTTTCTAAAATTATTGAGGCCTCTAAATAATTAAAATAATTATTTTCCTTCGATTTTCCCAGATTTTCCCGAAAAACCTCTGTTTACAGGAAATTCTATAATAATTTATTTTCACAATAATTTCACCTTCTAGGCCTCAAATGAGTTTTTGAAACCTTTAACTTATACTTTTACCATTTTTTGGGAATTTTCTAGAATTTTTCTCAAAATTTCTCGTTTTGCCCTTTCTAGACTGATAATTACAAAAAGCCAACACGAACCTTATTAAAGGTTTCACATCAAAAGTTATTTTGCCTCCCTGTCTAGTTTCTGCATTGGCCCTCATCCCAAATTGTAATCCCCTATGTCCAAGTGAAAATTCTCGAGATGTAACACCGGACCTCATTGGGGTTTCACATCAAAAGTTGTTTCGTCTCCCCGTCTAGATTCCATATTGGCCCTCATCCTAATTTTTGATTTCCCATGCCTAGATGAAATTTCTCAGGATGTGATAGTTCTCATATAAATTAATATATTTATATGAGGGGTATGAAGGGTAATGTAGGAAGTTACAATACTAAAAGGCCCTACATATTATTTTATTTATTTAAATTATATTGGTTCATGAACCAACATATGTTGTGAATTTTTATCTAATAAGATATTATTCCAAAAGATATCTCTTCAAAGCATCATTTCATGGTCTATATAAGCCCATCGCCATCACTTCATTTAGACACAACACAACACAAATACAAAGATCAAACTCATTGCCTTTGTCATTGAGTGCACATAGAGATAGAGTTAAATTATCACTTTGTAAAGGCCGTTATTGTCTTCACTTGAATCTTAGAAGTGCAATCCATATTCAAGGGTCTTCATTATATCCTGAAGGAAATTTGCCAGTCAATCCAACTTGCACCCCATAAGATAGGAATAGGTGGGGACAAATTAAGCCTAAAGAAACGTGTTACCCATGCCTTGAAGATATCGTGCACTACTTTCTTCTTCATCTCTTCTTCTTGTACTCTTTAGAGGACCATTCCTGCCAACATAGAGCAGAGTAATAGAGAAATATAGAGCGAGGGGAGAAGAATCAAAAGAAGAAGAGAGAACATAGAGAGAGAGAATGAGAGATGAACAATTCAAGCCATCCTCACCTTCACTGTATTCATTTTCTTTATATTTGCAAGGCTCAAAGTATAGAGTTGTAATAGAATCTAGTTTCCAGAAACATAAAGTGTCAACGTTACCCTTACTTGTTTACTAAATAGACTTCATATACCCTTTTATTAAAATATCTCATATCTGCCTTTGCCAAACCACTATGTTGAATTTTTAGGCTACAAGCTGCACCACACAAGGGAGGGGGAGAGCAAGAAAACTCAACAATCAGGGGCAAAGAATAACTTAGGGAGGCAACCCTAGTAATAGCATTAAGTAAGCAATATATTAGGAAGGTGAAATCTCTCATAGTTTAGGAAACTTTGCCTATTCCATATTTTAGGAAACTGGCATACTCCAAAATTGAGAAAATACTACTTGATTTCCCCTCAATCAACAATCTCGCAATTAATGTGGCATTGGATAATAAATTAAATTATAATTTACTTTATATAGATATATTAATTAGGTAGAATACCCTAATTAAACAGCTCGGCTAATCAAGGGCAGATTTGAAGTCCAACAACAAAGTGCTTCAAGTTCTGCCGACTCAAATTTTCTAAGAACGGATAGCAAATATTACTCATGAGATTAACTATGAAGCTGAGTTTTATTTTGCTTAGGGCTTCTCTGGTTAGCATAGGCCCTTTCAATTCCTTTAGCTCCTATAGCCAGAAGTTGAGTGTGGTTGGTCAGTATTATTTTGCTTCGCTTCCTTTGAAAAAAACGCTAATAAACGCTAAAAGTACGTATGCCGTACATGACAAAAAGCCTATCTGACTGTATTTCCACCTGGGAAGTAGTTTTCCCGTACAAAAATATAAGCAATATGGCATCCCCTATTTCAGTTACATGCGTAAATCATCAGTAATGTAATTTAGCTATTTTCTTATTATGGAATGTTATTTGAGTAACTATTTTTGTAGGGTTAACATTGAATCGTAAGTTTATGGCTATCACTTCATTTTTTTGGGCTACATTATAGCTAACACTTCAAACATTAACCAAATTGTTTGAGAAGGAGAAATAATTATGGATTTGACAAAGGTTTTGCCCGCAGACTGCATTTCAAATATTATTTCTTTAACATCTCCGAAGGATGCTTGCAGATCTTCTTCTGTTTCTTCCCTTTTCAAAACAGCCGAAGATTCAGATAATGTGTGGGAAAAGTTTCTGCCTCAAGATTACAAGGACATGATAGCTGAATCCTCATCCCAATCCTTCATTAGTTCTTTGAACAAGAAACAAATTTTCTTTCATCTTTGTGATCATCCGGTTCTTTTGAATGATGGTGAAATGGTACGATAAGCACTCAACTTTAGTTAATGCATTAATCTTCATTGTTAATTTTTGTAGGAATTTTCGCATATCTTATTAATGAGCCCGTTGTGTTCATCTTTGACACGAGATTTTGACTATTGACATTTGATATGATCAATGTTTAGAACTCAATATTTCTAATTTCTTTAATTAATAAAGTATCATCCTTTAAGAAAATAGGGTTATAAGATTGATTTAATTTTCACAATATAAATTCTAAAATATAAAATCTACTCGCTTTCCAATTTAGATGTAAATCGTTCAAATGGAAAGGCCCATGTTCATCTATGATATATGAGTAGAAATAAATTTGTGATCATTGTATCATCTCCCAAATCAATATATTTGAATATATAAGGGCTGTGTTGATCAAGTAGTCTTATTTTCTGGGAAAGTTAATTGCTAAATTGTGAGCATTTGTCATTTATCAACCATAATTCATTTCCTACACTTTACTATATATCTATAAAAAAATGTTTTTGATAGAAGACGTCGTGGTTTGTGTTCAGTATTCAAAACAAGAATTAAATAACTTCTAGACTGGATTACATGCTTTCAAAAATAAAGTTGAAAAATAGTTTTATACTCTGTCCTCTTCTTTTTTATAATAAACAATCTTTCTCATAGTGATGTTTCTAACATAAGAAAGAAAATTTTTTGACTGAAATTTTAAAATTTTCTTTCCATTTTTAACTCATATCAACTCTTTGTAATAAATTTTCACTTATTATCTCTCGTGCACTCTCTTTATAAATAAGAATATAATTAAATATATATTACACATTTATTTCCTTTTACTAAATTTAACTAACATTTTGAACTGCTTGGTTTTAGTAGTTATTTCTTATCAAAAGAGATGAGAGAGTATATATACAATCTACTCAAATATTACCAGGGACCTCTTTGGCATCCACAAAGAAAAAATCAGTTTTTTTCCATCTACAGAGATCAAGCAATACACAAATTTATTATGTTCGTATTATCATTATAACATTAATTAGTGCAATCCTGTCATTAAAAGTGATTTTACAGATAATATTTCTCATACTCTTGTTGTGTAAAATTAGTTTTCTTTTTGTTTCATTTTACGCCAAAGTTTCTGTCGTTTAATATTGTGTATATTTAGCAGAGTCTTGGCTTAGAGAAAGATAGTGGTAAAAAGTGCTGCATACTTGGTGCAAAGAGCCTTGCTATTGTTTTGGGAGATACGAAATCTTACTGGCAGTGGATTTCTTTACCAGAATCTAGGTGTGCTGCCCTCCTTAACACTGCTCTTTAGGTTCCATTTTTTTCAGGGGAAATAACATTTTTGTCCAAAAAATTATTTTAATGACAATCAAGTCCCAAAATATTCTAAAGGATACATAAACAGTTACAAATATCTATTATATTATTTCATATAAGCAACTTTCTAGATAGATATTTGCAACTCATATTGTTGTAAGATCTTACGGTACATAAAACCATGATTAAATTGATTTTTTTGGATTTGACTGTTGTTCTTCCTGTTTTAAAAAACATGGAATATTTGATTTTTCTACACAACAGAAATATTTCAATTCTACATATCTCAAATATGTGATTTATATTGTTTTTGTCAAAAAAAAAAAGTTTAGATTAACATTATAATTACCAAATCATCTCGCTTTAAAGTTATTTAATTCATTATAATTTTCTTAAAGAGAAGGGAAAAAGAAAAAAAAAATTGTCACTAAATTTGTAACGGAAGTATTTTGTTGCAAATTACCCGTTATGTTATAATAAATTATTAAGAATTACTCCCTCCGTTCCTTATTATAAGAGACACTTAATGCTTATGCCATGTTCCTATATATAAGAGACACTTATAAGTTGTCTCTACTTTTTTGTGTTGATTTACTATTTTACCCATATTTATTATCTCCAACTCACACTCTCTCTCCCTTCCACTTCTCTTTCTTTTAATAATTTAATTGTTCTCTCTCATGCTCTCTCTCCTTATTAATGAGGGCATTTTTGGAAAAAAAATTATACTTTTTATACATTAATTGTTCTTAACTAACTTTAACTGTTTTTTTGATCAACGTACTTCGGTTATTTGTCTCTTATAATAAGGAACGGAGGGAGTAATAACTAAATAACTGATCAGCTAAGGAGCATATGTTCAAGACAACTTGCTTAGAAAATTATGTTAGGATTGGATGAAAATAAATATTACGTAGTCCACATTCTATCATTAAAGTCGATTTCAAATTTAAATGGGTTCAGATCTAATTTTACCCTTATTCAGAAGCTTTTTTTTTTTTTTATCAATATCTCAACAGAAGTGTGAAAAAAGGAGTAATGCCATTTCTAACAGTTAGAATTTTTTTTTGATAAAAAAAACTTTCAAATACTCAGAGTGGAAAACTTTATGAGGCAAATTAAAATTGAACGACAACCCAATTTAAATTAGCCAGAAATAAATAATTCAACTCCTCCAAAATAGCGCAAATATTTTGGAAGAGAAATAAACCTCTAAATAGTTGTACTTGATACACAAAACAAGCACACTTAATATGAGCGAACTGGTTGTTAATTGATAACAATTTTTTATTTTTCAATAAATTCTTATTTGCAGATTTAATGAGGTGGCGAAACTCAACTACGTGTGGTGGCTTGACATTAAAGGAAGAGTAAGGGCTGATGTTTTGTCGCCAGGAACAATATATTCTGCATTCTTCGTGTACAAGTTAGAAGGCGACCATTCTATGGCAGATAGATTTGTGGAGATGAGCGTGAACAATGAAAAGAGCTTTAGTGGGTCCCACAGAAGAGTGATCTTAGACCCTTCGACGACGAATTCAATAATGAGAAAGAAAGGGAGAGCAGGTCGCAAGAGAGAAGATGGATGGATGGAGGTTGAGATGGGAGACTTCTTTAATGAAAATGGATGTAAAGGCTTCATGGAGTTCAGGCTATGGGAGACTAATGGCTATATCAAAGATGGCCTTATTGTTGAAGGAATTGAGTTCAGACCAAAACGTTTTGGATATATGATGTGGCTGTAACTGTATATACTGGGATTGGCTTATTTGTAGACATTTCTATTTGATTTCACGTAGTGCATGTTTGGCACAGCATGAGCAAGTTTTAAAAGTCCACTGGAACAAAAATCCAAAACTAGCTGGATGAAAAAATGACAATTGGCATGATTTTGAGAGAACTAACTTTTTACTCAAAAGTTATTTTAAAGTTCAGGCAATTTTTTCTAACTTCTAGATTTGAAGTTTCTAAAACCAATTTCTCAATATATTATCAAAACAAGTTACTTTCAAATTGACTTTTTTTCAATTAAAAGCATATTTAAATATAAAAACATATATTTGCATGTATTAACTTTTAAATATTTGCACATATAAAAACATATATATATTTGCACATATATTTAAATATAAAGATAAATTATATTGCATGTATTAACTTTTACCCTAATTTTAATTTGCAAAAATTAGTTAGGATAAAAGTTACTTTGCCAACATTAATCATAATAAGCCCATCCAACAAAATTTCTGCAACCTTAAGTTATGTAAAAGTCAAACCTTTTAAGAGAAAATCGAGGAAATCAAATATGAACTGTTAAGTTGATTCAAATTTATTAAAAGAAATTAAAGTTCAGGTGGAGGATAGAATACAAAAAAGCAGTTATTCTATTTCAATACTCCCCAATTATATGTTTTTATGAAGTCATGTTAGCTAATTTCTTGAAATTAAAAAATTAATTAAATGTCAAAAAAGTTTACAACTTTTAAAAAATATCCTTTGGTTGGTATAAAAATTGGAGGTAAAGGAAAAGCCATCAGGCGAATAGTAAAAGAGAGCCAAAGGCACTTTTAAAAATGAGTCGTAAATGTTTCTATAAATTTTGTAAAGAGTCTTGTTTTGTTTTATGAATCAATAGATTGTCTCTTATAAATAAGACCAAATTAAAGGGTATATATAGATAAATGTATTAGCTTTGGAACTTCCTTTTACATATCTATTAGTGTTTTTGACTTCTACTCATGTTAGAACAAAATAAAATATTCCTCCGATCATAAACATATAAGCTAAATAACTAATTCACAAAATTAATAAAATAAATCAATTTAGTCAAATATGTTTTTTGTTTTTCCGCAATACTTTGTTCAATAACTGACATTGAAACTAGCTCTGTTGATAAAAAAAAAACTCTCTTTCACATGTGTAAGCAGTGGATATAGTTTAGGTAAGAAATTACAAATTTGGAGAATTAAAAGAAATGGATTGTGTTCTACACAAGTAGAATTAAAACACACCCATGCTCCTCTCTCTCTCTCCCCCCTATTTCTCTCCATAAGTGAGAGCTTTCTTCACTCCTTTTCTGTGAGTGCAGTTGTTTCCAGCACCTCTCTCTCCGACATAGGCTAGAGAGGAGGTTGTCTGGCTTGGGGATCTTTTAGTTTTAAGGGTGAGGGTTTTCTTTTCATTTTATTTGTTGTTAATCTTTTGGATTTATGTGGCGGCAATGATTACGAAGGGGAAGACCAGATTTGAATTGGTAGGGCCGCTAACAGCGTCATGGAGGATGGGAAAACACGTGCATATTGCTGATTCAAGAATCAAACAAGACCACTCATGATTGACCGTCATACTGCGATGGACAAAGAGTGACGAGCAGGTTGACAACCCTCAAGTTTCAATATCTCTTCATGAAGACCTCAATCTGGTACATCTCCTAATTCCGTCTACTCCGATTTGGTCTAGCTGGCAATGGAATATAGGTTCCATGGTTAGATCTAGTAGCTTTGGGTTGATGGAGGTTTGGTGGCAATTGTTGGAATCTCACCGGATTAATGCATTGTCATTGTTGGCATTGATGTTTCTTCCAATGTGGCGGCAATTGAGTGGCGATAACTCTACTCTCATCGTAGCATATGGTTTGTCATGGGACCGTTAAGATGGCTCTTTGGAGCCCCATCCCTTGTTTCAAACTTGGTTTCTGGTGGTTTTATTTTTTCAGCGGCAACGCCACGAGGATCGTTCTGGCTCTGACTTAGGGTTAGGGTTTGTATTAATAGAGTTGTTTGGGCTTAGTGTTTTGTTTGGGTTTCGGCCTCTTTTGATGTTTTGGTTTTTATTTTAAACTTTCTGTTAAACTTTTCTCTTTTTAAATAGAACATAAATACTTCTATAAAAAAAAAAAAGGAATTAAAACAAACCCCTAGATACCTCTTACATGTAGGACTTGAAAGAGAGTAATAACAAGTAACAAATGATTATAACACAGCATGACTACCAAGAATTTTCTAGACCTTGTCTATACCATAATCCTTTTTCCTAGCAATCTATGAGGAGCCATATTTTTATTTGGAACTAAATAAAGCTTTGATGGTAAGCACATTTGACCTTCCAAAATTAGAAAAGCCCTACTGATCTCTCTCTATTAATATTTGACGCCACATAAGCCCTTTGTTCTGTTGGATAATTGCCCTGGACCTTCCCAAACTTGTTGAACGTGGCTCAAAGACATTAACATGAATATTGATCTGATTTAGCTTGGTACTACTATCCCAGGCCCAATCAAGAGGGTCCACAAATCTCAACATAATTCTAAGAGTCCAAGTCATATGGCCCAATTAAAAAAAAAAAACTCACCTCTGGATTAATTCTAGCAATTTTAGCAAAGTTAGAGTCTCCTTTGGTTATTATTTAAGGATTATTATAATGACATCTAAAGAAAGAAAATAATTTTCAGTAAGTCCAAGAACAAGTAAGCAGTTATCTTTTATTACTATGAAACTTGTTATTGCATGCTGTTTTATTTGTGATTGGGATTTTTTAATAATTATGTTCCTTATTTGGAATTTTATAACAATCCTCATTATTATTTATCCCAAGTACTATTGGGTTTTTCAGTTATTATCTTCTCTCTTTTCTTTTCTTTTTGTGTGATGCATCTATTACGTCGATCGAGTTTTTATATTCTCGTAGTTCAAAATCTGCATAAGAGCTTTGGTCCGAACTAGACTCTTCTTTTATTTTCTGACATTAACTAATCATCTAATTAACCGCATACTGTAATCTAATCATTTAATCATGAACAAGTGGCTCGATCAATTTTCCTACACCTATATTCCAGGCTAGCCCAGTTTTAATGCATTGATGACGTGTGTGTTGTGCTCTTTGGAAATTTCAATGAAAGATCCCAAACTTCCTTTTCCGAGAACTTTCGGAAATCTGCAGTGTTATAAAAAGTAAAATATGTGGAAATTGGGAAGTTGACTGACTTTATGTGTTGATCTTTGAAAAGTTCTGATGAGACAAAGTGCGTACAACATACGGCACGCCATCTAATTATTGAGTGCCCATTATCTTATTTTCTAAAATTTTCTGCCGTATGTTTGGCCAAAAAAAAAATTTTCTGCTATAAAATAACTGTTAGTGGTAGCTTCACTCAAGAATGAGGTGAATTTGGTGAGTTATAAGAATTTTTTAACATAATGAAATAGTGAAATAAGTAAAAACAGAGAAGATTGAGTTAAGAAGATTTCACCACAGAACGAAGACACAGGATTTATACTGGTTCAGTTTCAACCACTTGACCTACATCCAGTTCTCAGAACACTTCTGAAATTTCCACTATGTTCCCAAGATTAAAGGGCTCTTGGCGCCTCAGTATATTAATTGATTTTCTCAATCACTCCCCCTTACTACCCGTAAGTTTGCAATCTCCTCAAGAGTCCACACTCTTGAGTTACTCTCAGAAAATGAGTAAAGAATGGTGTATCAATCTCTCTTACAGAGTAAATGAATATTGAACACTGAAGCTCGGTAAAAAAAATTAAAAAAAAAGAGAGTATTGAATGCAACAGTAAATTTCTCGATAGATGGTAGCTCACGTATTCAATATTTCATTCAATGCCCTTCGCGCCTTTTATAATTGGAAAAGTTTAATTAACCGTTAGATTGAAGAGCTTCTAGCCGTTGGAAGATCGGTTGCGTGTGTTCGGCAGTTGCAATGATAGTTCGCCATTAATGCTTCTGACACGGTAGGTTAAAGGCTACTAAATAGCCGTTGAACTTCATAATCTGAAAAAACTTGTGAAACAAGTAAATCTTCTTCTTGAAGGAAATTTGTGATCATAACAAAATAAGTGATGATCATTGATATTGATACAATAGTTTGGATAGCATATAATCAATCATCAGATACTTCAAATATAAACTGAATTTACTTGATCGATATATGGTTAATCGATCAAGTTATTAATTAAATATAAGGAAGAAGCTTGAAATAGATAAGTATATTCATCGAGCAAATTATGGATCAACAGATGATCAAACAAGTGATCGATAAATGGTGAGAAATGAATACAGTGACCTCTGAATAGATTATGCAAGAATAAATTTTAAAGTTAACTTTTCCTTCGACTCCTTTCAATAGAGAGTTAAGATAAACAAGAAAACTGAGAAGAGCTTGAAGATAAAGAGATAGAGAATTTTGAAAATCATTGTGTATAGTTGTTATGAAATGAACTGGTTCAATAATCGATCATATTATTGATAAAGCTAAGTATAACAGAAATATATTTTCAAAGTGTGTTGATCAAATATTTTATTGATAAATGGTTGATAGGAGCAATGATCGATAAATGGTTTGAAAAAGATTTTCACAGTGAAGTCACAGAATATATGATGATCGAGTACGTGATCGATTAGAGTTTAATCGATTAAGTGATCAATAAATGATCAGTGAAATCTCATTTAAGAAAGACCAGAAAAGATATTGATTGATCACGTTATGTGAAAACAGAAGTTGTAGATGTTTAGATGATCGATCATTTTATCAATAAATCAATGATCGATCAGGTGATTTGAAAATAGCTTAAAACAAATAAGTCCAGTGAAGGAGATGATGATCGATCATTTGATCGATAAATGACTAATCGATCAATTGATCGATTAAAGGTCTTGACAGACTACTTAAACAGAGCACATTATCACTAAAACCAATAAGTTATCATGTAATGTTGGAACAGGTTATCAATTA